GGGTGGATACAACTTGAAATTACTATAGATCGTCAAAAACTAAAAATTAACATGTCTTAGTTTGAAAAGGCCCGCGAAAAAATTCAAAATTTGGGCTTGGCTGTGATCGTCTAACAAAATGGAACTCTACGTTGTGTTTTTGAAAAAAGTAGGGGATGCGTTCAGATGTAAATGGTGTACCCCAAGGTTGGAAAAGTACCGCTAAATAAAACACCAAATATGTGGAGGACACAAAATTATTTATTCCTCCACTGACAAAAGAAGAAAAAAAAAAGGTGCGTGCGAGGGTGAGTCGTGACTTGCCCTCAGGCTGCCCAGTGGGGGCCGAATCGTAATCGCTTCTCAGCTCCAAAAAAAAACTTATTGAACTTTGGATGAAATTTAAATGAAATCGAATTAAACGTTCGGAATCAATGCAAATATTGGAAAATCACAAATTTAATAAAAACAAGCAAAATCTGAAGGAAAATAACTGGATGCAAATACACAAGTTATTACAGGCGTGTGACCACAAATTTAAATTATAGCAGTCAACAAGAGCACAAAATTTTAATAAACAAACTATGCAGCGGCAGCGGCATCAGAGCGCTGTAAGAGTGTGGCGATCGACTAAGTCGATTTCATTCTAGCTAGAGCACAATAAAAATACCCATAGGGGACGTTGTAGCACGAGCGGAGTTTGGGGCTCCCGGTCGGGCCTGTTCTCCTACCCACGACGGTGATTCTATCTATCGCAAGCACTGTCGCCCAGCACCCCAAGAGTGCCTAGACGAACAGGCCGTAACGGTCGCAAACTCGCAGTTGGGTCTCGACTATTGGGCCAACTCGACAGCGTTATGTCATCTCGACCGCCGCTGAATTCTATTCTAACCTGCACCTTTTGTGCAGATGGCGTGATAAATCCCGCCAGTTCGACTAGGAACCGCGCCCTCCACTTCTGCCAAGTGTTTCTGTGTTATTTAACCTCAATTCCATTTAAATGTTCAATTCCTCAAACTCCTCGGTGATGTAATTATCCACGTTGCGAAGAAAATGCGTCTCGGTGATAACGATGATAATAACGATAAAAATCGCCTTCACCTAAAATCGACCAATGACATTATTAGGATTTTGCCTTAACAACCAATTAGAATTTGATTTCACTGAAAATTGCATATCGTCAAGGGTAACGGGCGATTTCCGGAAATTGCACTAAAATGAATAATGTTCAGGCGATTTTCTAGCCGAATAACCTTCCTGATCGGTATTTTTTCGAAAATTTGCCCTCAATGTCAAGAACGCATTCTTTTTGGATCATGCGCGACCCGCACTCTGTCAGTTTTCGATTCAAAAAGCACTTGTCAACTTGACATTTTGTTGCAAATTTTTGGAAAAATATCTTGCACTCGAGATATTACGTTCGATAACTGTCTAAGGTGAGAAATCTTTAATCCCCCGTCAGTCCATGATATTATGAATTTTGTTAATTTAACTGCCGTAAATGAACGATTACCAATCTTGTGTGAGGAACTAAGAAGTATTATAATGTAACACTTAAGTATTAGCATCCAGAAACGTTATTCGTAATTTTTGTTAAACAAAAGACTGAATCCTGACTAAGTGAATTTCATGAAATCTCATAGTGAGTGTGAGTGTTAATCTAAATAAATCTAATGTCTGTTAAATTGTGTTAGCACCAGTTAACGATTAAAATCCTAAGGCGAACTGTGAATTCACAAACAATCAATCAAATTTACAGAACGTTTTAGCGTCGGTCGGAAATTCGCATTTTTCCGATAAAAAAAAAACCGCAAGAATTAGTTGCGCGTGTTGGGGAAACTGTGGCGTCGTCGTTATTACGATTTAATTGTCGTTAAACAAAGGCTTCCTCTGCTGTTAATTAATTTCAGCGCGAAATTTTGATTCAAATTCGGTCACCACAATATGTATTTTCCTATGCTGGAATTTGCTTTAGCTTACCCTTAAAATGATGAAGAGCTTATAGGTGTGGGGGTTGGCAAGTCCCACAAAATTGTATAATATTTGTATATAATCTGCATTTAATTGCTTCCAACCAGTATCTGCCCATTCACAATGGACATAAGGCATAACAAGTACATAAAGCTTACATAAATACATAAAGTTGAAACAATGGAAAACGTGTACCCCTGTTCACAGTGGACGAACGTAATTCTTATGCTTATGAACGTTTTATGTAATCCTTCTGTGCGTACACAAAGTTGAAATAAGTTCAACTTTGTGCACGAATTATGTCAAAATTATGTTAAAATCTAGGGACTTTTGAATGCTGCTATTGAATTCCCTTTGACAGTTGGCACTTGGCATTTCACACCTTCGATTATATTATATATATTATAATCAAATCTTCACATTGCGAGTCTGTTCTGTACTGCGAGTTCTCAAGTTCGAATATCCTACGAAATTGTATGTTAGATATTTTGATTGATGCAGTTTGAGGTTAGCCGTTTCTATGTTTATCCGGGAGTTATTCCGTTCTGCGTTTGCGCAGTTTAACAATTCTTACAGAGTTCACTTTGTCCACTGTGAACGTAGATAAGCATAAGCCAGACACAAACCAAAAACGTAAAATATGTTATGCGCTCGTTCTTATGTCTTATGTCCATTGTGAATGGGCAGTATCACCCCGAAACTTTCTCTTCGTCCACCTGCATGTCGTAAAACCCATTTTTTGTTCACCCTTCTCAATAATCCTTATCCTTTCCAAGATTTCAAATACCTTCCGAGAACCCTTTAGACACAACTGTTTCCACCGCTTTCTACCGACCTTTCTTTTCATTTCAATTTCACAAACTCTAAGACTCTTCCCTAAACTGCCGTACCGACAACATCAAAATAAACACGCCAAAACGCAAGTACTGTTTCAATCACCTGATCACTCCACATAGTATTTACCTGGTTTCTTAACAAATTCTGTGGTAAACTCGTTTTAGATTTTAACTCCCTACTTGATTAATCTTTTTCTTTGTGGGGACGAACCAGGTATAATAATTCCAGCAGGTCAGGTAAACGATTCGTAGAGAAAAATAAAACAATATTTTTGAGTATTTGGGTTAAAAGTAATTGTAAAAGTGACTAAATTACTCAAAAAATAATTCGTTGCAATTACTCATTATTCAAATTGAAAAATAATACATTACTTATGGAATTGTAATTGAATTACTTCCAACCACTGCACCCACTGCACCACGGAGACGTACAAACCGTGTTGGGAATGAAACGTTATTATACCTTGCAAATGTTTTTGGGAAAATTTGAACGTTTAGCGAAAAAACTGAAAGTGGATTCGTACAACTACAAGTATATGAGTATATTTTTTGGCGTAACATTCAAATCATTTTAAAATAGCATTCATTGAAATGACGTCATCAAATTGTTGGTGGGGAAGAGTAGCCAAATTTTGGTTATTTCTAATATCCATATTTAATTCTAATATTGTTCTGTTTTGCTTAGAATGAAGACTGCATTTCTTGTGAAGTCCCAAGAAATTCCGCCTCAATGGTGAAATGAAGTAGATCATCATTTGTGTGATACGCCTACTAAAAAGAATCACGTCGCACTAGAAAGCCAAGGGGTATGTCTTTAATGTGAAGTTTGCGGAATAATTGAGACAATTTCTAGTGACTTGGAAAAAAAACATTTCAATCTGCTTGCAGTTTCCGTTTGCGTTTTTATTGGCAATGGTTATGCACGAATAAATGAGCTTTTCTTTTCTATGGACGTACGATTCATGGTTCCTGACACTTTCTAGAAGCATCATCAAACAATATCTCCTAGGGGAAAACTCTTGGGAAGCAGGGTAGAAGCTGGGAGGGAAGAGGCTCAATTAGCAATAGAATGTGGTGATATCAGTGAAAATGGAAGAGCGATGATTGCTATAATAGCAGACCGTGCGTAGAGTAAGATATTCTACCGTACAAACTATAACATCTTCAAATGTTGCTTCAATTTTTTGAATAAAACGAAACAAAATAAAAAAATCAGGGATACACAATAAATATTGGACAATTTGTGATAGGTCAATAAAATGACCATTTGAAAAAAAAAACGCATACACATTTTTAAAACATGTTATAAAAATTATAAGGCCAAGAAACGATAATAATAATCAATTACCTACACATAATGCACAGCGTTACAACACAAGGGATTTTTTCAGTTTAAAACAACGAATGCATGTGATGGTTTGATTAGTACATATTTAGCAAATGAATGAAGCGGATTTTTTAGCCTTTAATTTTTTAGAAGACTCAATGTCCGTTGCCTTTAGAGTTCGGCAACCAACAATTTTAATAGGCCGGTTGTAATAGCGGCAATAAGCAAAGCACCGGTGTGATCAGGTTGCGTAGTAAATACTTTTAAGAAACACACCAAAAAAGGCAACAATAGGTGAAAATCTGGCTATTCGAATTCGAATGAATTTCATGGAGTATTTTTTTTCACTTTTATTGCACATTTCATTTTGCTAAAATTTGTTAGCATTCTGTACTTCGATAGTGAAAGGAAGGCAGAAAATAACATACGCTTTTAACAATCAGGAACACACTGTTGCAAATCATCCCGTAAAAATTTGCTCTAAATGCCACTTATCTCTGCGAAAAAACGAAATACACAATATATTCACATTTTCTCTGAACCTGACCTATCAAAAAATGGAACTACGTCTCTAATAATAGGAACCGTAGCCATAAAAATAAACTCTGTGGCTATTTTCCTCTGAACTTCCAACAACTGGGTAAATTTATTTGGATGACGGTTTTTTGCCGCGTACGATGACTCACTTCTGTGAACGGTTGTACGTAAATTTGAATGACCGCCGATATGTCTGTATTATTCTTCACATGAACCCGTTTTGTTTAATTATCACACATTGAAAAGATATAAAAATGACGTAAAACGATCGTGAAGACTGTTAAACTTGTGGTAGAATTTGATAGTAATTTTGTACCTGACGAATTCTGACGAACGGCAGCAACCAATCAGAAAGCTTCATTTGACTTTGAAGTTTTGCTACGGAATGGATGGTGGATTTTTCGTTCCAAACAAAGTAAAACCGCCCAAAAATGTGCATGAGGTAGTTCAAAGTTTAAAAGTGTGGCTATTTTAAAAAGTGCGAACGTGATTTAGTGCTAAATTATTGTTTTATTGTGAATATTTTAGTGTCTTTTGTAGTGATGTTGTAACCAAAAAGTCGCTTCAAAATGGACGCACGCATTCAGCCCCAAAGCTCAATTTGTAGTGATTCGAATGGGGAGGAAAATTCGGGAAATGATGGTAAGGCTTCCGAAGACCATTTAGCCGTGCTACCTGTACATTCAAAAACAAAATTTCTCTTTGGAATTTGTTAGGTTATGTTGACTTTAAGCAAGGTTAAATAACACAACCTTTCTTTCAAATAAACACGAGTGCTGATGTAAGACATCAGTTTACCAGTAAGTAACATTATTCTATTTGTATATAGCTGCCTCAGTAACAAGCAATCGAAGAATATGTTTGGTGGGAAATCTGGCAGAAAATGTTGCACTTCGAACTGTAGCAGAATCATTTCGTGTGCCGGTTGTGAGTTCAGGAGATGGAAAAGACTGTATCCAAGAAGATTGTTATGGCACAATTTTTGTGTTAGAACAATTTGACGGAGATGTATATAGTTGTTTATGTAAACAAAAACAGTCCCTTTTGGGTCCCGTGGCTCTTCAGCAGTTGGCCAATAAAAATGAATCACTTCCTGACAATACTAGACCACTTTTTAATCTATCCATGACGGGTGTTGTGGTGTGTTTTACCGGATTCCGGGACAAAAATGATCTGGTAAGCAGTAGGTTTTTATTTAGTGTCTGTGATGATCTTTTAATTGTTGTTTCTGTCCCATTTATAATGCATTTGTTATGACTTGTGACTCTGGAGATTACAACTTTCACCAAAACAGTGAACAACGAGGAAAATAAAATTTCGTGGCATATTAATAATTGAACTAATAACATTCACCTGAATTTTCGTCTAAATTCCCAATTAAAAAATACAGGTACATTTTTTCCATTTTCAAGTTGTGGTAATTTATATTTTTATTTTCTCCTAAATGCAATATTACTTTTTTCATTTTTTTTTTTCACATTTAATGTGAGTTACTATTCGTATGTTAGTCACTTGCGCGCCGCGGTTAGTTTAACCCATGTGCCAGATTTAGTCTTCAAAAAGGTCATATAATACTTGCACGCAAATAGGGGATTATGAGGGTTGTCATTACCTACAGGTATCGCGGATAAGAAGTCTTAGTAAGATGTTAGTAGTGTGGCGACCTATGTGTTGCCGAAAGATCGTACTTTCGTGCTATTTGGGGGAACCAACCAGTGGATAGAAACAGCTACTTTCCGAACAAAAGCCCCGCCGGACGCGGAATTACACCTGTCTGCACTGGTGTCGCCACTTTCGGGGATAACGGCCGCATTTCTCTAAATTTTTGCAAAGTGATTAATCACACCGATAAGAAGTCTCTTACTTCGTTCCATAAGTCTAGCAGTACAGGGATAAAAAGATCAGCAGATCTGCATTTTAAAAGTTTCTCTACTGTTTTATTTTTTGTGAGATGGTAGAAAATTTAAGAGCAATAAAAATATTTTCAGCTCTTATTGCATACTCGCTGATTAATAAATAAATAAGTACATGCGTAATTGTGTGAAAGTTAAATTATTTCTCTGAGAACCTATTTATTTTTTTCTGACCGTTGCGCGCAACTGACCCGTACCTCTCGCATGGCAGCAGAAGATTTTGAAATGTAATATAAACCATGTTTAGGATTCCATAATATGGGATATTTCTCATACTGATCGATTAATTCTAAACATTTCTTTCTATTCTATTCAGTTAATTCACTAATTTTTGATTGCGCGTTTGGCTCGTTCGGACTAAAATGTTCAGTTCAGGACCCACCTTCAGGTAGTTTGCGCGCAACTGTCCGGTGGGATTAGAACCTCCTGCAGATTTTTCTGACCCACCGTGGCACGCACCTGGTCTATGCCCATGTATACAATAGACAAGTAACAGACGTATTTTGATTAATATATAGATGTTGAAATTCATATACCGGCTGTCTGAAAAATGGCGGATTAACTCTCCGCTACGCTCTTAACAATCAACTGGTGAGTCTGGGAAAAATAGTAAAAAAATTCCTCCTCACCTTTTTGGTGGAGTTATAATGACTTGAAAATTGGTTCTTTTGCTATGGTTAATAAATAAACAACACATTCATTATCACAATAACTAGTAATAACACTTTTAGTTAGTATTTCTCTCGCCCATGACCATGTTTAATTCCCATTTCAGTTAGAATACACAAAGATATGGCTGTGTTGTTTTTGTAATAATTTGATAAAATTCCATTGGACAACAATGTTTACCTGATATAAAGCGAAGGTGGATTTCAGTCACCATCGTTTCTAGGAAACCAGAAAGTAAGTCGGAGCTATTCACGCATTAGGTGTGTGCAATGTTGCCAATTTTACTTTTATAAAATTACGTTTTTTTCGTAATCTACATCATAAAGAATTTTTTTGAGACTTTCGAAACCCCCGTATATAACGTAGTGAAGAGTTAATCCGCCATTTTCCAGACACGCGGTATATACAGGATTATTCAGCTAAGATGACCCATTTGTGTTTTTAAAATAGGCAACCCATAATACCGATTCCACTTGAGCCTGGATTACAAAAAATGTTTCAAAACTGAATTGTATCAAAGTTTGCTTATAAGTGTATAGAAACGTCAGTGTCAGTGGTATTTCCTTTTAGCACACGATATTAGTAATTTATGTATTACTATAAATTTCCAGACCTAATGATGAAACTTCATCCTTACGGTAGCACTTGTAGACTTACGCGACACATTTATTTGTTGGCAATGCAAAAGTCTTTATGCATAGCCATATAAAAATAAAATCTTTATTGAAGTCTTGCAGTTTAATATCTCTACTTTGTGATTCTTCAAAAATATATTAGAAATATTGGAAGATTTTATTTGTTATCTAAGTGTTAATCATGTGAAGCTGGTACCATTAAATTGTGTGTCTTCAATAAAGCAGATGACACGATCATATTAAAATATAGGCGCGATTTTATGTATTAAGTCAGTGCGAACTTCACTTAACACAAAGAAAATGGTGTTATTTTTTTGCTTTTCGCTTAATTAATTAAAGGAATGATGATCTTTGCAAGAAAGATATGGAAATATATTTGGAAAAATTGTACTCCTATTTAAAAGTTATGCTCCCTATGCAGAAGTTTTGATACTATTATCTGAATTGGACTGTTGGATCTGGGTTTTCCGTGGTTGGACTGAACACTCCCAGGAGTTATTGCTTGTCGGTGGAGTCGAAATGAGCAGCTTCGTATTATATGAAAAAAAGATTTAAAAATAAAAAATACGAGTTTGCTTTATCATTATAAAATTTCTATGGAAAGTGTCTAACGTAATACATATTTGGGATCAGCAGTAGCTATAGCTGTTGAAAGAAGTTGGGTAGTATCGTAAAAAAACTCCAGGTATACACTATGTGTAGATCACACCCCCCTCCATCTGCTTACTTTATAGCAGTGACTTAAAATGGGTCTGTTCTTTTACTAATTTACCTCCCCCCATAAATCAAAAGGATTATTGACGAAGTTACTTTGCCTACATTTATATACAAAAATGCCCTATTTAAGTTTGGCTTTTCAATAATTCAAAAGTAGATAGTTTAACAAAAAGAAAAGAATATTTTCGGGAAGAAAAATTGGTTTTTCTTTTTTTTATTATTTTTATTATTATTATTTAAACGAAAACCTTTAATAAAACAAGTATGTACATATGTTGCGAAAGTCTTCAAGTACAGTAGCGTTTTGCCGTATTTTGACACATTTTCAACCTCACGTTTGAGGCTTGTGGATTGTTAATACATTTTCAGAATGTAATATCTCTGTTAGTAACAGACTTATTGTCCTGAAATTTTAAATATCACATCTCCACACCTTTTACTATATAACGCAGGGGCGGTTAAAAAACAGTTTACTTTTTTTTTTATTTGGCGAAATTTGTATTTTAAAAATAAAAATCTCAATTATTAATTGAAATTTTGGAACGGGGTTTTCACCACTGTTTTCAGCCTACAAAACTCAATGGGACGTATCCTTTCTTTGTTAGACAAACAGACAAAAATTAACAAACGTCTCTAAATGTTAATTAAAGGAAAAGAATATGGACCAATAAATTTTATAAACATTGTTGATATATTTTTTTGTCGGAAATAAGATATAATGAAAAGAGTTTCTGCGGAAGAACCGTCTAGATTCCCTCTCAACTATCATCTCATTCCCGACAAAAAAAGTCGACAATGTTTTTCATAAAATTGTAGAGGTTTGTAAGCTGAAAAGAGTGGTGAAAACTGAGTTCCAACATTTCCATTAATAATTGAGATTTTGATTTTAAATTATACGTGATGTAAAAATTTCACCACAATAAAAAAAGATGATAGTAAACTGTTTTTAAAATTATATTATGAAAGATGTGGACATGTTATATTTAAAATTTCATAACAATAAGTTTGTTAATATATTCTGACAATATATATTGACAATCCATGAGCACCAAAAATGAGGATTCCTCTTAAATGATATTCATCATCAAGTGACTCGTGGTTAATACGCTCAGGTATGGCTGGATATAATTGAAAGCAGTTTTGCCAAAGTTCTGTACCAAACTTATTTACTTTCTCTGTAATTAAATACAACCCGTGAACTCATTTTTAGAAAAGCATATATTGTCTTTTTTAGGCTTTTCCTTGACAATTTCATCGACCACATTCGAATTTAGCAAGTCCAGGTCATTAATAACCTTTATTAATTCTCTTTTCGTAGCGTTTGTCTTAGATTTTTTATGTTATTTTTACTCATAAAAATTAACATATCCTTCCGTATTTCAAGAATTCTACCTAGCTTTGTCGGTAGCTATAACAGAATTTGGATCCAAATTTGGAAACCAACTTTCACATAATATTATGGTAGCCTGTCGAAGATTTGCACATATTTTTCGCTGAAAGCAAAATAATAATTTTTCCACGAGACATGACACATTTAAAGAACATTTTGAAGACCCGTCCATGAATTCTCTTCTAATTACGTCATGGCTGTCGTTCCAAGTTTCATCTAAAGTGTATTATGTTACGATTTTATGGTGCAAGTTTCTTGGTTTGTGAGACAAATTCATGACGAAAATTCTTAAATATCTTCTAAAATGTTCATCTGAATAATTTATGCCAAAACCTTTTTCACGGAGTTTTTGAAGCAAATTATTTGTCGTCGGGACGATATTCTGACGATATGATTCCCATATGGTATTTTATTTCTGAGGTTGAATTTTCTTTATTTTTTCGTCTTTACGAACATATTCTTATTTATCTTTACCGATAAATTACTCCCCAGGAATTTCTTTACGATAAATTTCTTCCCACTGAGCACAGTATGCGGATTAATCGGATTAATATACATAATTTTACGATTCCACAATCTGCAGGTAAACACTTTTTGTCGATAACAAGTGCCAGATCATTTGCATACTTTCTCGGCAACGGCTTTAAAATCCGTCTAATCTGTCAATAGTGGACCTCCCTCTAATAAATCAAAAGCATAAATGACGAAATAGGCTGTTACTAAAAAGTTGATAGTTTAACAAAAAATAAAGATTACTCCCCGGTGGGCAATAATATCTTCTACACTGTTACCTTTTTAGTTTAATACACAGTATATGTGTAGTACCTGGAATTTTTCTTTAAATCTATTTCCATTAACACCGTTACATCCACTATTGTTATAATATTTATTGGTCAAAGAATGTTACTTCTGTTTGCTTTCAGCTTATAACTTTATAAGGTTAAATATTCGAATACTAGACAAGCATTGGAATAAGCTGTACTGATGAGACCTAAGGAGGTCGAAACTACAGTCTACAATTTTCAAGGAGTTGTCTAAAATCTTTAGTAAATATTATTATTACATATCATGTATTGTTATTATTGTAGTCGCGGTTAGTTAGACTTTTAAGTGTGGTCCAACACCCTAAAAAAATTGTAAACGTGTGCGCTGTTATGACATTTCTGTTTTTCTTCTCTTCGATTGTATTTACTCTGTTTATATGTATTTACAAGCACTAATTTGCTTTAAACGAAAAGTTATAAGCACGATTTTTCTTTATTTAAAAGGGACACATTTCATTGTTAGGGCTTCAGAATTACTGTTATTGGCACAATATGTTTGTTTGTGTTAATGGTGGATATTCTGACCATAACACTGGTGATGTTGAATATTTATTAAACTTTGTTAGTTTTTGGATACACATTTTGCAGAGTTATGAAAAATAAAACTAATGCAGTTATATTTGGTGTTTAGTAGTTGAGACTTAAACTAACTAACAAATTTGTTGTTAAATTACAAATTCTAAAGTTAATTGAAAATGCATAATAATTTCTATAAAAAATGTATGATACTGTCGTATCGTCGACAGGTATATTCAGCCTGCCCGTAGTATATAAATCTTTTAATTTGATACGTAAAAGTGTTGTTGTATAAAGCTTTTGTTTGATGAGTTATTTTGGCTCTCCTCTGCAATACATTTTTAACCGAATTGAATTTTGTAATGTACCGCTACAGTTGCGTTTCACTTTAAACATAAATACTATAAATTCCCATTTACAAAATTAACTGTTTGCTTTACTTTTTAACAGCTGTTTATACATTCTGTAATGTTAATGTGACACAACTCTTAATAAAATTAGATAAATCTCGACAAAACACGTCATACTTCAAGGTAATAGTGTTGGAAATCTTCAAGAGGCGATTATACTATTGATACAATTTAAAATGACGTCACATTCACTAATAACTGCTGGTGTCACGTTTTGGTTTAGAATATGAATAATCATACAATCAATTTAACTAGGTTTTTCGTATTTTGTACAATTTTTAATCTTATTTTAATTCTGTACAGGCTTCATTAGTGCCATTAATCCACAACATGGGTGGATCCATTAGAAAAAATATTTCACAGAAAGTCACACATCTTATTGCGAATGTGTGCGGTGGTGAAAAATATCGTTATGCAGCCATTTTTAGGGTGCCTGTTATGGACCCGCAATGGGTTTACGCCAGTTGGCAGAAAAGAAACGAAATGAATTTCAGTGCTACTTTAGATGTATTTGTGGTAAATTTTACGATTTTTTTTTTATTATAGTGTATAAAAAAGGATTGATTCTTAGGCGGAGTTCAAGCTGAAACCGTTCCATGGAGCAAAAGTTTGTTTTATAGGATTCGCAGAGGATGAGAAGAAACACATGACTGATATTTTATTATCTAATGGTGGTACCGTTTCCTCATTAGATGATCCACAATGTACTCACGTGGTAAGTTAGTTTTTTATTCTTTTATATTTTGACAAATCTTTAAAATTCCAAAATGCACGTTGGTTAATTTTAAGACGCATTACTGCATCTTGCAATTTTTGCTGTTGTTCATATTCTGGTTTAATTTTTTTTGGAAAGGTATGGATACATGTTAATAAAAGTCTAATCAAGTGGATGAATAAAACAAAAATGACTAGTTTTGCTTTGTTGAAGTTCCTTCATGGTACCATGTTTTGTATCGTTTTTCGGTAGTCAATATGTGCATCACACCATTGTTTAATTTGTATTCATTTTATTTTCGTCAGCCGAATCAGTCTTCGTTAATATTATTTAAAAATACTAGCAAGAACCTTAGGACGGTTAATTAACACAAAAAATATATACATAATTATACTAGTTATACTACTACTTATTTGGCCTTTGGTGATTCCCAAAATGAATCTACTTTTTGTAACTCATTTGGTTTAATGCTGTACAAAAATTCTAAAGAACGGCCTCCCTGTTTCTCTACTACAATACACAGTTATTTAAAATTTGGAGAGATTAATGTATACATATGAATACGTTTATATGGTACTAGTTCAAGTGGTTTACATGTAAGGGGATTGACAGAATAAATCTGTCTAATTTAGTTGGACTGAAAGTCACAGATAAATAAAAGAAGAATAGAAAGTTATGCTTTCTTTGTCAGTTCTACTGCTCTAACTTCCTCCATGTTATTATCTGTCATACTGCTGATTAATGGAATGTAAATCAGTAAAAGACAACATGCCATAAGATGTAATCGTATCAACTTACAAAAATTTGAAAAGTCGGAAGCCGCAAGTGTATTTTTTGTCTGGCAAATCGTATAAATAAACAAGTATATAACATGAAGTTAGACGAAAGTTTAAATATTATTTGCGCATGTGTATCCAAGAGTTTAAGCCACTTGGACTAGCGTGTTTAAGCCGATTCAGTTGAATCCGTTTGCGTTTATAATGATGGGTTTTAAACCGCTTAAATGTGTTTCAGTGACGTAATTTCTTAGATAAAAAGAGGGTATATATAAAAAAAAAAAACAAAGTGACTGTACCATGGGTGCCGGTTTTACCGCAAATGACAATTTTTTTATTTCAAATGAAACGCGGTATGTTTTTCCAGTATTGCAATTTTTTTTATCAGTGAATTAACAACTTGTGATATGTAGTTTGTTTAACAAAAATGCTTTAAATTATTTTCCAAATTCACGCAAACTCAGCTGGCAAATTTACACCAAGTTATTAATTTTGACGTATATTTTTACGTTAAACCTTCTCAATCGGCATATCAAAAATAATTATGTAATACAAATGAGCAACACTTTGTTTCTAATTTGCGGCGGTCTTCTTCCATTTATTGAAAATGATTTGATTTTCCATTATTTTACGCTAGCAGTTTTAGAAATAGTAAATGTAAAATACATGAAATTTAAAAAATCGTGTATTGTTCTCCATCAAATAAAATATTACTTAAGTATTATGTCACTAAATAAAAAGGAAAATATATTGTTTGAAACGTTTAAAAAACATACTCCATCTAGATTTGCAATGTGGTCACTTTATAGTTTTTCTTTACGTAATTGTAAGCTATCGAATTTCAAAATTTTGTTTACTGGAAAAATAAAAATGTTCTCTGTTGAACCGACCTAAAACATATCACATTTTATTTAAAAAAGTTTTTATCATTTCCGAAAAAGCCAGAAATACATAATACTAAAATTAAACTAATTTCATACCACATACTGAGTGTACCACTTCAAATTTCAGATATATGAGAACAATAAGTCAATTGCGACCACCCCATGTAAAATTATTTTGCGCATTAATTCAAACGAGGTTACTACTATGAGGTATAGCTCATCTGCGAAAATAGTGATTTTACGACTTCTACATCAATGTCCTTCATGTCAACGAATAACACAGATTTAGTAGACACAAAATCTCAAACTTCGATAGAAGCTCTTTGTTGTATTGTCCTGGCACGCTTCTCTTCAACAGGACCGGAGTACCCTAAGAGCTGTTTTTACATTTCACAGAATTACTGCGAAAATTACTACTAAGAAAAATAAATTTTGATGGTAAAATAAGTGAGAAATTGCGCAGACGTTTAAAACGTGACCATTTGTTTACCTTTTGTACGTCGACTGGATCTTATGATAATAAAATATTTTCAGGTTCGTCTTCAAAATTTCAAAATATCACTATCACTTACTATGTTAAGCACTGTAGATATAAAGTAACAAGAGTTCTAAATGTGAAATAAAATTGTGTATTTATATGTATATCTATGTTCATCTTAAACATGGCTAATGATCGACTGAGTATTAATTAATTCTTAACGACTGTTTAAGATTTATCAACTACTCTTATTCTATGTTATGTTTGGCTAATCACTTATACAGGGTAATTCAGCTTAAATAACTTACTTACCTCTTTCTTATAGGCACCCCGACATACATTATCTGCATACTTCTTCATTAAAAATTTACAAAATGCCTTCAATACTGGTTTGCTTTTCTTTTTTGAAACGTCACTCACTGTCACATAAACACAAGAGATTTTAAATCATTGGTTATTATTTTCCAAAAACACACAAGCTGTTCAAAGCTTCAATTCTGTTCATAAAAAACATCTCACGCGTTCGTTTCGGGACCAATGGACTGACGTACTTGTCCAATTTGAGGACCCGGGGTGGGCTAGTTAGCATCATGCTTGCCCGCTACACCTTGGGTCGTGGGTTCGATTCCCGCCATGGCTCTGGGTGTAACGTGTATGTCCCGTTCCCCTGTAATTGGGCCTCAGTGCCTGTTGGGGGACGTAATTAATAAAATAAAAAAAAAAATAAATAAAATTCGTTCTTGCAACTGAACTATATTTTTGAACAGTACTTAGGACGGTCCAGTTTATCGGTTTAGGGGTATTAGTTTAAGATGTTCATTGTTCATTGTCAAGTGGAACGTGCATGTGAAAATAGTAAAACTACGATTTTCTTGGATGAGCTATATTAGATCATTTAACAATATGCTCTATTTTATTTGAAAAGAAAATTTGGTGCTATTTCCGAAAAAAACAATGCGAATACTACACTTATATTCACTTTATAGATTTCTTTGTGGTAATTAACCGAGTATTTTCTTCAAAATTAACACCGATAATTTAAATTCTGTTCCATTGAAACATGGTTGAGTTTGAGAATACTAAGTAAGTAACTTAAATTTAAGGCACCTGTATACCATCCACTTTAGGGTTTTTTCATTTGTAAAAACACTTCACATTTTAACACATTGCACATCCAATACCTATCTATTTTTTTATTTCCTGCAGCAATGGCAATAATCGTAACTCATTTTTAAACGAATTTATTTATGTATTCAATTGTCAGTCAAGTTTTAAAGGCAGTGCCATTTTTTATTTTTTTTCAAACAATTCAACCTGTATTGCTAAGATTATTATAATTCTAATATTACATGTACATAACTACCATTTGTCGAGTGACTCATCTATCTATTTATCTATTTATTTATTTATTTGTAGTTCCGGTTTCCTATTAATAATAGCTATTTATATAGCATGCTTGTTTGTACGCAAGATAGTGTCGATTTTCTTAAACCAACAAAAATGTTAAAAAGTAAATACGTAATATACTCGTAATTTCGGTTTTGATTCAACATGTATAAAGACTCCCCGGATTTTTCTGATATGGTACATAAATTCAAGAACTAGAGTTTAAATCAAAATGTGTTCCGACAGTTTGTGTAAATTAGTCGAAAGAATACCTTGTTTGCGAAAAAATGGAATTTTAAAGATTAAGTCAAGTTTTCGCTTATAAATTGAAACCGCATTGTGTCGATTCTCATCGTATCTTTTTGTACTTCAAAACAACTTAAAATTTAAGAAACGCATCACAAATTTGTTCCACGCTTTGACTTGTGTTTAATAAAAACAAAAAAGTGCATAAAGCATGGTCATGGGTTCTAGGTAATGGAACATGCAGAAGTCTACACACTAGAAGCCGCTAGTGCACAGCTTTCTCCCACCGAACCTCAAGCTCCTTCTTTACCTGATCCCCCTGACGATAATTTAAATTACAACGGTTTTCTGGAAACCTTACACGAAAAGTCTCGTGACAATTGCATCGATGATGTGGAAAAATCGCTTAATTTAAGCCCGTCCGAATATTCTTCAAGTACTCGTAAGAGGAAAAATTCGTCAGCTGATCAATCTTCCGTTAAAAGCAAACGCAGGAAAGATAAATGTGCGAGTGAGAAAAAAAGTAAAGTGTCGGGCATTTTTAAAACGCCTTTGAACTATTTTTCAAATCGTCGCCGCACAATCGATGCTTCTAGTTTCAGTGAAACTCTAAACCAGAGTGTCATTTCCAGTTCGGGTGTGTTTAATGTAGAGGCTATTGAAAATTTGAGCATTTTAAGTGACAGTACGTTTAATACCCCAAAGTCGACTAAAAAGCAGAAGAAAAATCTGTTTGTGAGAACGTTCAGCTCATCAAAATTTACACGAACAAAATTGAAGAAATCTAATTTGAATGCTACGCGTTTATCGTTTGACGAACATTCTGACCAGGATGGAAATGAACCGTTGAATGCCAGTTGTTTTCCTAATATTTCCCTGAATCCTGTATCTCATAGTGAGCTTCGCAGTGATTGCACCAAGGATGCTCGTGGACCTTCTGTGCCTACTCTATCGGTACTAACTTCATCACACTCTGTATTAATTTGTTTGTATTTAAAATTTTCAGTTCACGCATGATACGAAAATTTTAAATGCAAACTATAGGAATTGTAGATTTTATTTAACTATTGTGTAGCAAAATTCTATAGTGTAGTTGGTCTCACTAGTCATATTCTAATTTTCTTTCCAAATTGTTAAATGATTTGACTAACTACACTGCACACCATTAAAAATTTACATTTTCTATATTATCATTTCCTTCACTTGGAAGAGAACATGGAAGTGCACGATTTGCCGTCAAAAGTAACTTTCATCCGCTCTTTCAATCACAGTTTCAAGTTCAACTTGGCCTGAATCCATCATCTACAACCCAGCATGCAGCCCAAATATTACTTCTGTAGTTAATCTATGTATACAATTTAGGTTGTTGATGAATCGTCCGTCTCAGAACGACCAGAAACGAGTTCTGCAAAAATTTTCGTCGTCAAAGCTGAGTGGTTTTGGACCTCAGTTCAAAAAGAAACATGTCTGGAGGAAAAAGAGTATCTCTACGACGACGTAAGCTACTTTCGAAATTAGCCCGGTTTGCTTCATTAAAGAGAATATTCTGTTTAGTACGTCGAACAAACGTTTTCTCCTACACGAAGAGAATCGCATGCAGCTACACCCACTAGTGCTAGTAGGCGGAAACGAAAACGTCTGCACGAGGCTGTTTTGTCGTTGACACATCAGCAGTCACCAGGTTTGCATAAAAGAAGATCTTCGGTGAGTGATGCAGGATTGTTGTCAGTGTCTGGTTCTTTCCTAGACTGCACCGCAAGTCCTGACAAGGCGTTAGTAGATGGCACCGAGCCTGCTATCGATACGCCGAGGAAAGGGTCGACTGCCAGGCAGCAGGTCTTCCTGGAGTTGCTTCAGACTGAGTGCAACTATGTGCACATTTTGCATACTATCATGACCGTAAGTTTTTTTTTGTAGTTTTGTTTTTAACTAATCTTTTTGCAATTTTAACAAATATGAGGGTTATTCACGATAGAGGTTGATGCCAATACGCTTCTGTGTAGTATAGTAGTAAACATGTCACAACTTGATTGTGTTGTGGTGTTTGTCTAGAATTAATCGTTTGGTTTTATAGGCAACCAACGAGGTCACATTTTTTTATTAACTTTCAAAGTTTCTGCAGCTTAATTTCTGCCTGCAAGCGGTTTCTTAACTATTACGCCCGTTTGCACCAAACACGGTTAAATTTTTTATTTGTTCCTCACTTGTAAATATCAATTTACCAAGTCAATAATGTATTCAACATGAAAATGTCACTTAACTGGCTAGCCAGTAAAATTTTTACAGCCCTGCTCGTGATCAAACAGCCATGTATTTTAAACTGTTATAAGTTGAAATGACATCCAAAGTTGATGCAGGCAAATTTTCACTCACAATTGTTGCTTCCTCAGTAATATAGCTTGCGCCACACTCATTTCAATACATCTAAAACGATAAATCGAAAAATCTAAATGACAGAACTAGACAACACAATAAGTGCTATGATAAATGCCATGCTGATGTGCATTTCCAAGGCAATACGTGTAAAGCTCATACGATGTTTCTTCAAACATTGGACCTTCTAGAGTTTTTAATGGTTTATAATAGTTATATTCAAGTAAGAAACAAATAAAATATTGAACAATACACGCAAGGTAAGGGGTTTTTACTGGCTCCAGAAGGTGCCTTCGGCTCACCAATCGTATCCTTCTGTCCGCCAGTAAAAACCCTTTTACCATGCTAGCAATGTTAAATACTTACCTTGCGTGTATTGTTCAATACAATAAATGACATATTCATATTCATGTGTCGTAGTCGGCTTCGGCGTCGTACGGGAGTTACTGGGGCCGGTGACGCTTCGACGAATTCGTGGAACTCGGTGAATTGGGAGACATCTAACAGTGGTTTCTAACTGGTGGGTCGTTTTTGGGTTTCACAGTGACTTGGTAAATTGATGTTTACAAGTGAGGAACAAATAAAATACTATAACCGTGATTAAGCTTGTAATTGTCTTGCACTGGCGCTCTAATAAAGGTGAAGTTAATCAGGCCGGCTACGGTCTGTGTGGTGAGGGTTAACAATTAGATGCGCAGTACACAGTACGCAAAACGAACTGTGGATCAGCTCCATCAACTGATTTATTTATTTCATGGTGATCTTTTGTGGTATTTGCAGGCGATATTTGAGTTGAGTAAATAAGACAAGGACAAGATATTACTAAGTGTACACTGATTCACTAATGCTACCAACCTAATTTATCACAAATTATTACATAAAGACTGTTTAACTGAAGTACGACGCAAACTAGACGAAATTTAATCATGGTTACCAGTTAATCACGGTTAGCTAATCAAGATTAAAAATACAAACGGGCATTACGGTATGAAAAAGTAGGTTTCCTATTTCCGTTTTTCTGTCGTCTGTTCGCGATTATATTAGACAGTTTAGGTGAGTTTAAAATGTCATGTGGGCGGTAAAACGCTAATCAAAATTTGTCTGTCATTCCGGGGTTGGGGCTGTGTTACCTGTGGCAAACTTCTCGATGAGGGGTCGGTCGGGAATCGCGGTTCTCTGCGTGATTCGTTCAAAGCAAATGGGGCTGCGTCACCTAATGCAGTCGTCTCGTGGCGTGGGTTGGAATTGCGTGATTCGGCGCAAATGCGTTAGTGACCAATTCGGGGTAGCCCTATTGAACTTAATCGGGTGAAGCGGCGTGGAATACGTTGGCCCTGTCAGGCACAATCTAGAGAGCGATTTGGAGTTGTCAGCTCTAGCCTAGCGGAACTCCCAAGTCAAAAGGTTGTGTCAAACCAGCTAAGCGCAACACTGCCGTTTTTCTGCGGGAGATGGCCCTTACCTAGCGGGGATCTCTTCTTCTCTGAACCGTGGTAGGGGCGACAGCCAATAGGTGCTTGAGGGTGGTTCTTTTAGAGGTGACTAAAGGGTACTAGCGAGCGCTCCAGTTAATAGAGCGCGTACGCTACAACCTCCCCCTTAGAACCATTGAAGCATCTCGCTATGGGACCTATACTTAAGTTTTCCGCGGTCGGCTTCGGCGTCGTACGGAAGTTACTGGGGCCGGGGGCGCTTCGACGAATCCGTGGAACTCTGTGAATTGAGAGACATCTATCAGTGGTTTCTAACTGGTGGGTCGTTTTTGGGTTTGGCATTGCTGTTTTCCCCTAGTGTGCCAGCTTTACATTCTACAGCTGTGTTTTACAGCAATTTTGTAAATAATGTTTAGCTGAACTTGAAAATTTGAGTTGAGTTCAATGGTGACGTAAAAACATGAGTTAAAAAAATTAGATTCCCATATCTTGTTTCAGAAAAAATGACGGCAAAATTTATGCTAATTTTGAAAATATGTATATTAAAATCGTACGATAGAAAACGGGAGACGACAGACAAACGGGATGAGGAAACCTGCTTATTCGTTTTCATAATTAGACGTTCGTCAAAGTAACTTACCACATTAGTTCTCAATGAAACTAATTTCGTTCACTAGAAAGGTGTTTATTGTTCTAATATTAGATAAAATAATTTCAAAAATACTATGTTTCAAATGGTGTGTAGAAAATATACATGTTGATCCTTGTTCCATTTTTAGTACATACAAGTATTATGTAAATAAATAAACACTAAAATGCACCTGGCCTCCTTCACATGTCCTACTGTTTATTCAAAAACCACCACCTGTTGAATTAGTTGGTACCAAATAAAACTCCTTAGCTAGTACAGAAAACATCAAATTTGAAATTTCATGACAAAAATGTCAAAATAAAATATATAAATAAAAACCATGATCATCCCAACCCCAATTTTTTTGACAGCAGCAAAAATCTCCCTAGGCAATGTTCATTGATTGGAATTTTTAGATGTGTTTTCAATTACTACTTCCGCTAAAATTAGCACACCACCTCTAAAAATTTTTAAAACATTGGTCGATTTCTCATTACACCTCACTATGACTAACTTTCTGTCCAAAACAAAGTCAGTAATCATGAAGAGAATGGTCCCAATAAAATCGAAAGTTTGAAATCCACAGCTCGCTCCTGAAAATGTTTATAAATAACTAGTTTAGAAAAACTCCAAACTTTTTCGTCTACATAGTTTTCTAAAAAGCCACAAACAGAATGTTCTTCTAAAACCCCTCATCGGGGTCACTGATGCCCCCACCTATGCTACTACTAAATACCTGATATACCGACAAAACTTCTTCAGTGCTATCGACTTCAATCGCTTTGTCCAATGTTTGTGCATAGAATTTGTCAATGGATCCCAAATTTACCCTGGTCGGCTTCGATGTCACCTCTTTATTTGTCAAAATTCCTGTTACTGATTTGTACCCATATTCATCAAATTGTATCTCGGTTGTAAACCTAACATTATGGCTGATTTAAGTAGTAGAAAAATGCCCACATAGTGACCACTGATCAGTCAGTTTCTATTAACAAGTATCAGATACAGTTAAGGCTCCCCTCTTTTCTCAGTCGTTGCAAATCATGTCATGGAATCGCTTGAACAATTTGCATTATTTTTTCAAATGACCTCATGGCAAGAATAAAGTTGGATTTGCTTGAATCATCTTTAACAGTTAAAACCCTAAAACCAAATTCGTCATGGAAATCAAAAACAATGGGTCTGATGTGTTAATAGTTAGTAGTTTACCCAAAGGTCATCTGTTTAATTCTGTTTATCGAAAAGCGACACATATAAATTATCTTCATGTTGATACTTACCACTATCCGACCCAAACGTTTTCTGTCATAAATTCTCTGCTTCGCAGCGTTGTCAATTTAAATTTGAGAACCTTCATTCTGAGTTGAATGATCTCTAGCAAAATATTCCCAATAATGGCGACAACTTAAGTGACACCCGAACTACATACCTTTCAATGTTACAGAAATTCGCATTCACGATAGCCAAATAATGCCTAAGGTCCATAGATTAGTAAGGTCCGCATATGTCCTCTCCGGCCGGCCGCCATTTTTTAGGACGTTAGCCCTATCGTGACGCCATCAAACTGGCTGTTTGTAATTTTTTGTCGAATTGTTATGGCACGTTTCACACTACACTTCACCCGGAATTTTATTAATATAAAACCCTTGGCAGGTAAAAAAGCAGTCAAAAAATAATACACAAACACAAAAAACTCCGTCATACGTCACGTCGAGTCCGACTCTGACGCTATCAGAGATGGTATCACCAGTTTACTACTATGCGCAGACCTTACTAAACTTAGGGACCTTGATTGAGGCCTTTCTTCTCCCGCCACCACTTCGACCACTTTCCTTCCATACATTCGCAGTGATCCTCCTGTGTAGTCAGTAATGGGGTCTCGAAAATTAACTATTATTTCTTTTTTTGGCACATTGTTGAGACAAGTAGCTGTTTGTAGTAGTTGTGAAAGAGCACTTTATTGAAATTTCAGGGCATCATTCTGAAATTTAAAAAATCTAAACTGTCAAATGAAATAATTACCAAATACTTTACCACTGTGCAAGCATATGATCGAAAAAAAAATTCTGTCGTAAGCCATGAAATGCCAAGAACATTGTTTTATAAATTTTATGGCATACTAGAGTAGCTTTTTCTCTCAATCACAAAATGGTATTTAGATCAGCATTAAGATAGAGTTTTCAGACATCTTTTTAAACTTATTAGTATTGTTATGATTGAAAGGTAGAAGTCTTATTCTGAAGTTTCAATAGAGTGGTTACAAAACTTCATGAACCGCGATCGGCACGTAGGCGTAGAGTTCGGGTATATTTTTTAAAACATGTTTCTGATATAATTCTATCCCGCAAACATTGTTTTAGAGAGAAACCGACAGTGGTTACTAATTATTTTACTATTTGTTTACATATTGAGTTGAGAATAAAGCAAGACAGACGCTTTTGCAAATACACGGAAGCAACGCTAAATGTCGAAAAGCAAAATACGGTATGCGAGCGTTTTCAAGACTGTCTAAAGTACAGGCTCTACTTGTTCTGGAAAGGGTTTGAACGAATTTGAGTTTGTGCGCAGCTCAAAGTTACGGTGTATGACATTTTAAAACCACTTTAACACTGGAAAATTTGCATACGGTAAACGAACAAAATTTGCATGTTCACTTTTATAACCACTTTGTACAATTCGATGCTATCTCTAAAAACAGCTTTTTGTTTTAATTCAGTTCATATTAATATTCACAGATCTTTATGTTCGTAAATGTGTTTCATTATCATTAAGATTACCTAATATTGTTAATATTTTCATCTGTTTTTACCCAACTCTAGTTACAAAAATAACACATTCTAAAAGTACTAGGCGACTTTTTGTAACATTAATACTCTTCGATTTCTTATTTTGACAAAAAACATTTTTAACTTTCCAACTTTTGTATAATGTAATTCGTAGCTTTGGAGTTGTACGCATTGTATTTTTTATTTTTGAAAAATTTTGATTGCATTGTTTATAAAAACCTGTACCACCATTAAAAAAAAAACTCACGGTGTCATACATCAAAACTATTAAAAAAACTGACTTACCTGGCGTTTTTGTAATAAAATTTGGGCGGGCTTCGGTTTTAGCAGCTTTCTTAGCAATTCATGAGTGCACTAATTAATTTATTTCATCTCAATTCAGTTTAAAATATCACGAATAATCACAATAATTATATTTTGATAATTCATGATGCTTTGATATTGTGTTGTACTAACACTACTAACGCCCACATTATCCACAGATGTTTAAAAAGCATTTAGAAGAAATGCCAGAAGAGGAAGCGTTGATTAACAACACGGAACTTAATTTAATATTTGGCAAAGTTCCCGCCATATATGAAACACATGTGCGAATGCGCGATGAGTTTCGGTGTTTGGCTTCGTCTTGGTCAGAAGATTACACCATAGGCAGTATAATTCAAAAATACTCGAAAGATTTACTGAAAGCATATCCACCCTATATCAATTACTTTGAAGAGGTAAAGGAAGTATTGACCAAATGTGACAACAACAAACCAAGATTTCACGCATTCTTGAAGGCATGTCAAACAAAACCAGAATGCGGCCGACAAAGTTTGCAGGAATTAATGATACGTCCTGTGCAACGGTTAGGAAGTATTTGTCTGCTGTTAGCAAGTAAGTTTTTAGTGATTTAAATGTATTACTTAATCCTTGCTAGTTTCTTTCTTTCTTTTTTAATTAACGAACAGATGGATAGAATGTAAGTTGTGAGTGTTGTGTCGTGTTACAAATTAATATCAAATTGACACAATGTTTACTGTTATTTATGCTTTTCAGATCTTTTGAAAAACACACCAAAGTCGAATCCAGATCATATAGAACTGTCACGAGCCCTAGATGCTTTAAAGGAGGGCATGGATTCGATTAATGAAGACAAGAGGAAGGCAGAAGCACAAGTTGCACTGTTTAACATGTTTAATGACATTGATAATTGTCCGCCTGATATTGTTTGTTCACATCGCAAGTTTATAGCGAAGGCGGAAGTAATTCAGGTATCAACAACGGAAGGACTGTCAAGCAAAGGAAACTCTTTGATTCTCTTCCTCTTCTCTGATCTGGTGGAAGTGTGTAAAAAGAAGTCGAAGGCTTTTAATAATCCAAAAAGCCCCAGTGGCGTGAACACGCTGCAGAGGCCAAAATTTTACAAACACGTCAAATTACTACCGTTAAATACTATTAAAAAAGTAATAGACATCAAAGAAACGGAACAGTGCCAAAAGGTATTTTGTTTAGTTTGTCGAAATAACGACGAACTAAAAGAACGGGTTTATTCGTTTGCGATGCCTGATGAAGAATCTGACAAAACAGGGTTCTTACGAACCTTAACTAAACAGATGGCGAATAATGCATGTACACCGGATGCTGTAAGTCGTTTTAGTTATTTTTTTTTATCAAATTAACATATTGTTTGTAGGATAAGTTCTTAGCTTCTCTAGAATCTCACCAGTTGGACATCGATTTGTCAGATATGAACAAAGGCACTTTAACAAAAGCATTTAAGTTTGCTACTCGCACAAAGTTAAAAGTGGGTCGTGCTTTCTCTTTTAATAAAACACCTTCCAAGTTGAAACGTGCAGTTTCCTCCATGATGTCCCCATTTGGTAGCTCAAATAATCTTACCCCGTCGTCAGAGCTAGCTCAAATGAGGCTAGCTAGTTATAATAATATAAGTGTAAGTATAAAATGTCAAATTGCTAATGCAACACAGGTTATGGTCTTGTCTGTAGTTCTTTTGTCCTATTCTGTAGTATTTAATGGCATTTTCGTGTAATTTTGCATTGTTGTAAGTTTCAAAATTAACCGTTTTAGCAAATAACTTAAAGGATGCTTTGTGCGCTTAGTATTTCGGAACAGCACGTGGTGCACTTTTTCTTTGCTGCACGTGATTATAGAATTATATTTACGGTAATATTTGTGTATTTTTTAGTTTCTAGGTTTAAAGTTCTAATTTTGTTCAGTTAAGAAAATTTAAGAGAGGATAATAATTTACTCGGCATTTTTTAAAGGTATGTTGTTATTTTCTTACCCATATTAGTAAATGATGGTGATAATTAACATTGCAAAATTATGTAGAAAATAAGCAAAAGGTGGTGTATCTTAAAAATGTAAGATATACTGCTCACTATAAAAAACCCGACTTCCCATATATTTGCCAGCGGCATTAAAAAATACGACTCGTTTTGACCGAATTTTAAATGACGATTTTTGCACAAAAATGTTTATTTAGATATCTGTTGTTTCTAAAGTAATAAAAAAATTCAAAAACCCAAAAGTTGTGAAACTTCCTATGTTGAAGTTTCGCTTTGAAATGAATTGTAAATATTTTTTTATTTGTTTCACCAATGTGGTATCAATTATTTTTATATAATTTGTAATTCTAGCCACTTGCATTTTGTATTATTCGAAGTAAACATTAAGATGTGTTTACCACAATCTGGAAATTTGACTGGATGAATTCGTCATCGATTAATTTCATGTTTAAATTAAGCAAACCTCACAAAAAAAAAAACAATGCAAAGTAAAGCAAATTAATATTTTCGAGGTAATTAAAGAGTGCCGTTTTTGGTCAAATTACTACATGCGAGATTTCGTCGTCCTCGTATCAAGTAATAATGATAATAATTACTATTATCCAGCAGCAAGTATTCTTATAACTAGGTACTGGATAATTTTTAACAGAAATCTGTTAACATTTTAGCGGTATACCAGGACGGGTGTTCGAAAACAAATGAGTGTTAAACATTAATTTTTCAAATCATGGTCTATTTAAAACGATTTAACTGGACGTGTCATACAATGCTACACTACAAAAAATAAAACGGTACGGTTCAAACATACGGTATACACGACAGAGTAATCTTACAATTACTTGGTGTTTTAAGAACTTACAATTGTATATTTTGGTATTTTATTTATGTACTTTTTAAACGAGCGCAAATTTAAGCGGAATAACCCATATGTATTATTTTAGAAGCGGAAATTTCCAGGCAAGACTTCGATAATTGTGGGTACTAAGACAAAGCAATTATATGCATTGGTTAGATTAACAAAACAACTTTGGAAATCCTAGAAATTTTTTGTATGCTTTCGGAGATTGTACAAACTTAAATGTCTTTATAGTTTCTATCACAGTCTTGTTTAGTAATGCCTACTTAAAATACCATACAAAAATGCTTTTTTTTAATAAAAGAAGTAAACAAAAGCTTGTCCATGTAAAAATGGACCACAAACTTCTTTTACTGCACCGAAACTAATACAAAATCACGGTGGTAGAAAAAAAAGATCAAAATTATTACCATAACAATTTACGTTTTTACTTATAGGCAGAATAAACAACTTGTACTATACAGAGACTTACCCAGTTAACTCTGTAAGTAACACCTAAACTTAAATCATGAAATATGAAAATTGAGTGGGGGAGCCCTCCAATATGTGAGGATTTATTTATTTTATTTATTTTAAATGAATAATTTTTCGACAATTATCCTGAAAAGTCAAATTCTATAAACATGTCTTTATACAACTGTTGCGTAGAAAGAGTGCATGTTTACGAAAATAGAAAACTTTTAAGAAATTAAGTTGGGATGTGTTCGAGTATATCACTACATATATGTATTAATAATAAGTTGGATACCAAACCACAAAACAATATTCAAGTCAAAAGCGAATAAAAGCGTTAAAAAAAGTATGAGTGGTAAATTTCCATGGAATTGTTTAGTATTTTTTATTAAAAAACAAGCAGCTTAAAAACTGCACAGATTTCACTTACATGAATGTTAAACGTGAGATTAGAATTTAGATGGACCCGTAGATCATAGGTAGATATATACCGTGAGGTTTTTTTTTCTCTGAACATAGGATAATTCGTGGATGTTGGGCTGCATATTCATCCTCCAATGGATTGACTGAACATAAGATTCGTAATAATTGTAGGAGTAGGCCATATCAACGATGACATTTGCGTTAAAATTTTTGACGAAATTATTTTAAAAAGGTCAACGTAAATTTTCTGTTCTTTAAACTTGTTACCACTTATTGTAATACCTTAACATGAAAACAGTGCCAAATATCAATGGCGATATATTTGACATAACCTAAATTTCGATCAGATTTTATGTTCAGTTTTTAAAAATTCAAGTCAATCCATTACAAGCAGGTATGCAACCAACTTAACATTAATTATCCTATGTTTAGAGAAAAAAAAAATTTTGACGGTACATATATATTTCTAGGGGTTCATTCGGTATTTAGTGTATAAAATGAATTGGTTCTATCTAGGGACACTAATTCTATCTATTCAGAAAACGTGGATTTGCATTTACATATTTGTATTGGGATGCGTGTGATACGAATTACTCCAACTATAGAGAGTATATTAATATCTTCTCTAATGTACCTATCTATAATATCAGAAGATATTAATTAATATACGATTAGGGACACGGAATTTCAAACGACAACCAACTTTCTGACATTTCAAAACATTGTAGTCTTATACCTTATTGTCATTATGATTGACAGGTCGTTTGAAATTCCGTGTCCCAAACTGTATCTTCTTCAAGAATTGAACAGTTCTCAAGCATAGCTATTTTTCTAAATATTTTGAGATCGTCTACATAGGGTACAATATTGAGAAGATACTCTATTAACAACATCATTAATAAATTTTGACAAAAGAAAAAGGCCCAAAGTCGAACCAGGGGTACCCCACTTACAGAAGACAAATGTAATGATTTAAAACTTTGACATGCAACAAAATTGTCTATTGCCTAGATACGAGTACGATTAAAATAATGAACTAATAGATCTGCAATTTTTAAATGATTGGGGTGTTACACTACTTGAGCAAAAGCGTTAGAAAGATGAGTGAAAATCGTATCATCAATTTATGAATGTAAATAAGTTCGTAATTGTAGATAAAAAAAAATCTAAGAAACGTAGTACTTAATATTTTGTATATTTGGTGTACGTATGTTTTGAAAATAGAGAAGTTAATGAATCGTTAACGCTACTTTTGCTTTCCAGGAATTAGGAAATGCCGAAAATGCTTCCGAATCTCCTCCTACCGCTCCAATGTCAGTACAGCCAACTCGAAAAATGAAGACAGCCTCTTTAACTGTAAATGCTATGAAGCGAATGTAATGTTAAACGTTTTACTTTTTTAATATATTTTATTCAGTCAGATATATTTGTACATAAGTTTAATATAATGATCAACATGTCGAAATGTTTTATTTCAGTATCCCAAGATATGTGATTACACTTTTATTTACGTAGTTTTATCAATTCTAAATTTTATAAATTTGCATTATGTACATCTCATTCAGGAGTATTTGTATTATATTTATTGAAACAAGTTTGTAATGTATGATTGTAAGAAGTGGTAATCCACTTTGTAAGTGATACTGTTAAAAAATAAAAATATTTTACTGTATTTGCGTTTACCTTTGTGTGAACCTTAATCCAAGATTAAAAACCACAAAGATGGCAACGTACGCGGAAAGTACGAGTAGCAGTACTGGCGTAGCTGTTGTATTGATGATTTCAAATGTATGTGACGTAACTTAACAAATAAACAAATGCCTAAAACATTTAATGATACTATAGGAGTCTCTGACACACTTGGAATTTTACAAACTTTTCAAATAAACCTGCATTTTAATATTAGACAGGTTTTTTATTCTATGAACCTACCCGATATAGATACATCTCTAGGAACAATGACTGCGATAATATAGCCTCTATTGCTCTATGTCTACCTCAGATTCTAGCAGAGGAGGCCGCAGCGACAAATGAGACTCTGGCGGAAACAGACTGACGCCTTCAATTCGTAAACAATCCAGTACCACATATTTCTGTTGTAAGTGATAGGCGCGAGGACGAGAACGGGTACGAGGAACACACCGAGGTGGTAAACACCAGCAAGGAGATATCTGTATTCCGTCTACTGTGGAATTAATAGGCTCAATGCCAAGTGTGAGTTGACACGGACTCCCATGAAGTGGGCGTCGGACCGAGACGTGTTAAACGTCTGGACTTTCAAACTGGAAAAGCTTCGCCTTGGAAGATTCTGAGTTAGCCTTACCCTAAAGAGAGGCGAGAGGACATGGTGACCCTTTTGGAAGCTCTTTCGGCACACTAAGGGAGATACCACCATCAAGAAAGTTTTCACTACCCACTCGAATCTAACGAGTTGATTAACAGCGGAGGACGGCACTTGTCCGAAGCGACACCTCGAAGAAGTAAATATTGGTAAATCTTTCCCATTGCCTCTTACCCTTGTACGCTATGGGTTACTCATGGCTGTACTGGATAGAATCATACTGCAGTCTCTTATGTCTTCATATCGAACCACCGCTAACAGACTCGAAGACGTCCGACCAGGCGGCGGCACTTTACGGGATGGTTGATGCGAAAACACAGCCTCTCATAGCTTATAGATCAACAAATTTATCTGATTCAACAGGCCATAGACCGCAGGGTATGCTAAATCTCTAAATGAAGCACTGGCCAGGTCCACAACGGATTGTACCGTTTTTCCAGGCCATTTTCACTCAAAACTGGAACACCTGCTATGCGCGGAACGAATCGGGTAGTATGATGTTTTCTAAATTGAGTAACTCAGCAGTAATGGGATTGGCATCCCATCGAGTTGCTTTTTTGATATACCTACATGAGGTAGTCGTCTACGTCCTCTGGCGTGCCCACATTGAAGCTGTGCACTACCCCCATAGTTAAGAATGATAATCTAGACTGAAAGGTGGAAGCGGTGAACTCTTAGGAGCACTATCATGCATCTCAGAATAAAGCCCAGTGACTTTAGAGTCATGAAACATTAATATGATTCGCAAAAGTTAGCATAGAGTCAAATGTGACTCTTTAGTTGGTGGTAGATATGATTTTGCAATTACTGTAAATTACAAAAAGCAGGAGGGAAGTACTCGGTAGGTCGGTATATATCTCAAAAACGTTTTAGGGTCACTCTGAAGAATCACACAGTCTTCCATGGATGAAATATCTCTGTAGATTTTTACTTCGTCTTCATATTAAGACATACATTGGATTTGACGTTCTTCATAATACCATTAACGAACATAACAAATAACAGAGATCTTAGAACTGAACCTTGAAGGATGCCATTCATACCAGAGGGTACAGCAGTTATTAACTCATGATTTATCAATTTATCAGAGGATTAGAAAAACCAGAGTTACACAAATTCGCTAGTAGAATATTATGACTCGATTTGTCAAAGACTTTGGAGTACTCAGTGTACACATCAACTTCAAGTTTATCACTTGCGAACTGAAAAAATGCAGTGGCGGCTCGTGACCTTTTGAAATGGGGGGGGACACAATTTGATTGATGAGTTAATATGAAGATATAAAACAGGTTGTTATTACCAATTAGTAGACGACATCGTGTGACAGAAATAAATACAAAAATACATTCAATAAAAGTAAAAAAGGATTTCTCCACATACCTTTTTGCCTTCGGTTAAAATTTTACGTTCATGACATTTAAAAGTTCATTTTGAACTGGTTTAGACGTTTCTTTAAAAACCGTTGCTTCTTTCAAATGACTGATAAAGCAGAGTCCAATTCAGCGGTAAAATCAATCAGACCTCGAAATATACCTGGATTTTGTGTACTTTCGTCATGTCCACGTAAAGCAAGTTCAAAAAATCATAAAAACTCACAAAATTTTATACACATTATCAATCGGCGTAATATATGGCGATTTTTGTCGACCCTTGCGTTATGTGCCCGAATATTATTAATATAGGTGGTGTGTAATTGTTTCCGAATGTCTGTCCGCGCAGAATGAAAATTAAAACCCGCGATAGTAACTCAATCCTGCAGAGCACGGTTGGAATGGGTCTGCAGTCCAGTTGTGAGGAAGTGTGTTTTCCATGGCAGCGGTGGAAACAAAACATCTAAATCAGCCATGATTCTCGGTCTCTACGCCCGTCTTTTATCAGCATTTCATCAGAAATAACATATCATATATCCAAGACACGTCTTTAGATGTATGTGGATGTAAGTTTTGATACATTTTATAGAAGTGGAGAGAGAAAGAAATAGTTTTGGTAATTATGACACAAATTTCTGGATAATTTTTTAAATACTGAAAATTACTATTTTACAATGTCCAGTGTGTTTGTAGACGTTGTAATTTTGGGGGGGCATGTGCCCTTGTGCCCCCCGGCACCAGTCACCCCTGAAAAAATGTACATAGATTTGTAGTATTGGAACAACAGTTGACAAATCGATGCTGAGATTCACTAGTTACATTGAAAATGTTAAACCGGAAAGATTTATATCACACCATTTCAAAAACCTCGGCAAAATTTGATGTGAGAGACCTATAATTTTCAATAATATTTCTTTTTCCACATGTAAAAACCAGAGGAAATTTGGACAATTGTCTTGCTTCATAATTCGTACTATGGGATAAGGATAAAAGGATATGCTAATACAGATTAGGTACAGACAGATGCACAATCTGACAGCAAGAAAACAGAGACGTTGTCGTAACCCGATCTATAATTAGCTTTAATTTTCTCAAGACCACATAAGACCTCGGATTCAGAAATCAATGTCGAGTAGTTGTAAATTTTGTTTGAAAATTGATCAAAAAATTTAGCGACATTACCAAAATTAAGTTGTACTTAAGGAGTGTTCATTTTATTAAACGGACACCTTTAAAGTAACGCCACTTTTCTAATTTTTAATCTAAATTTTTCTAGTTTTTATATATGAAAGCTTTAAGTTGTATCTATTAAATGCCATTTTTGTTTTCAAAATAATGTTATTTCTTTTTAAAATGAAGCGAATCGCCATTGGGGCAAGAAAATTATCTTTGCAAAAGTGAAGCTACGAAAAATTTCCGTTGGGGGGACTGCCTAAAATAACTAAATGTTCAAAATCAGCAGTGTTCCAAATAATCAAAAAGTTTGGGGAGTTTCATACTTTAGAAGATTTGCTCAAATCCAGACCGAGAAAAGGCCCGCTTAACGAAAATATTGAGGAAAACATCATTAAACTGCTAAAATTAACGAAATGTATGTCTGTGTGGGAAATACCTATAATGCAGTCGTAGGGGAAGATGTCCTCGATGACATGAAAACAAAAAAAATTGAAAAGTTTGGGAAAAAAGTCTTAGTGTGACAAGCCATTTGTTCTTGTGGACTAAAAAATTTTAGTTTTTTTTTTTACGATTGGAACAATTCGGGGCGATGATTACAGGAAAGAATGTATAAAAACGCGATTATCGCTTGTTTATTGCAAACATCATAACCCTCCATTGTTTTGGCCAGATTTGGCTTGGGTTCACTACGCTGGTGCCACTCAGGAGCTTCTTAATGCCAATAATGTACAGTTTTTAAAAAAGGAAGATAAACCACCCAACTGTCCTGAGCTTCGTCCACTTGAGCGATAATGGGCAAATATGAAATCAGTGTTAAGAAAAGATGGCCGAACAACATCATGAGTTGGAGAATTTAAAAAAATGTGGCCTCCTGCTATGAAGAAATTCACAAACAAACCTGTGCAAACAGTGATTCGCGGTATTCGCGCAATAGTTAGAAAATTTTATAGTTTCTGAATATAATTGATTAGAGAATAAGAATAATTATTTCATTTAACATTGTTAAATATTTTGATAACAAAAAAAATTAAATTAGCCCAAAGTACTCGAATTAGTAGCAATTTTTCAGTGTCCGCTTTATAAAATGAACATTCCTTAGTTGCTATAAAAATGTTTTGTAAAGGCAGGGGCAATATCAGTAGGTTTAGTTATTTTTATCATCCCAACAGACTTTTATGACACCTCTGCAAAAATCAAGTTATGCATATATTCAATATTTTTTATCAAAATGTTAGGGGTCTAAATACTAAAATAAGTAACTTCTATACTAATCTATGTACCATTGATGAAGAAATTGTAGTCTTAACAAAGACATGGTTTCATGGTTAACCAGTAGCGTGTTGTTTAGTGAACTATTTCCAAGTTATTTTAATGTAGTTCGCGATGACAGATTAGGTGGAAGAGGTGGCGGGGTTTTGATTGCAGTAAACGACAAATTTGCTATTAAGAACCTAGATGTTATATCACCTATTCCACAAATTGAAATAGTGGCAGCCAAAATTTCAATCCAAAAATGAAATGTAACGGTGGTCGCAATTTATATTCCGCCATCACAGCAAACTGGAAACTACATACAAATTTTTGAACACCTTGAGAATCACTTGGATTTCTCGAACCCGTTAATTATTTTGGGCGATTTCAATATCTCTGATACGCTGAATGTGTGAGAGAAATGAAGACATCTAATTTATTCAACCTTTATAGTAATTTTATTTCTTAAGTAGTATTAGACAACACAATAGAATTACTAATACCTACACATACAAGGATATTAGACCATTTTTTGTCAACTGATCATTTCAATGTTGTTTGCCAGCAAAATCAGTTTCCTTTAGTACCAGAGGATCCACATCATTCCTGCATTAAATTCGTCTGTTTCACTTAGTAATCAAGAAAATATTTCTGTCAAGTAAAAATCAGAACTCATCAAATTTAACTTCTATAAAGCCAACTTGCAAGATCTATATGCGGCTGTATCGTCAGTTGAATGGTCATTTATTGAAAACATCGAGGATGTGGATGTTGCCTGTGATTATCTTTACAAAATAATCTTTGATTTATTCGATCAACATGTACCCAAATGTAGTGTTAATAATAATACCAAATGTGCCAAATACCTTGCGTGGTTCACTAAATCCATCATTAATAAAATAAATGAAAAGAAGAAACACTGGAGTTTGTATAGGAAAAACAGAGGCTTGTATTATATTAATAAAGTAAAAAATCTTAGACGTGACATCCGTAGTGAAAGTCGCAATGAATATTTGCGATTTTTAAACAATAGTGAAAATTCCATCAAATATGATTCAAAAAAATTTTGGTCGTTTGTGAAAACTAAAACAAAATCTCACGTGATTTTAAACGAAATGGCATTCGGTGACAATGTTGTGTCCTCTCCACAAGAGATTGTCAACGCTTTCGCTTACAATTTTCCACCGTTTTCTGTGATAATAACGTTCCTGGATATGATAATATTTGTGATACGAATACTAACATCTGTGATGTTTGTGATGATAACAACTGTGTCTCTATCTCGCTTCAAAAAGTTTGTAATATTAGCTCTGTTTTGCATTTATTTTCTGTTAATGACGATGACATTCTGAAAGCAGCAAAAAAACTTAAACCTAATTTAGTATCTGGCCCTGATGGTACACCTGCGTTTTTTGTAGTTGATTGTGTTAGATGTTTGTTAATACCCCTTAAATATACCTTTAATTTAGTGTTAAAATCATTCACATATCCGTACAAGTAGAAATTGTCAAAAGTGTGTCGAATTTTTAAGTCCGGCGATAAATCAAGTGTTAAAAATTATAAACCCATAGCGCTTTTGTCAAACTTTTCCAAATTATTTGAAACTATATTATCCAATGTAACATATTCACATGTTATAAATTACATTGTCCCACAACAACATGGTTTTGTCAAAGGAAAGTCAACCACCACTAATTTATATGAATTTACGCAATTTGTGTCTTCAGCTTTAGGTAATTACTTCCAAGTAGATGTGATATATACCGATTTTACAAAAGCGTTTGATAGGGTGAATCATTGCGTGCTTTTAAAAAAACTTGAAATGTTTGGATTTTGTAATGATTTGTTGTTATTATTGAGGTCAATGATTATAGGGAGAAAACAATATGTTGAGTATGGTGGATGTAAGTCTTTTGAAATAGATGTAAGTAGTGGGGTGGCTCAAGGCTCCAATTTAGGTCCTCTGCTTTTTACCATATTTTTTAGTGATGTCGATCAAACAAAAAGTTTTATCTATGCAGATGATCTAAAGATAGTAAATATAATAAAGTCTGTTCATGATTGTCTGAAGTTGCAATCGAGTTTAGATAGTTTCATTACTTGGTGTCTTAATAATAAATTTGATGTTAAAACTGAATTTTTATAATAACACAAATGGCTTGCCGCTACAAGTGTGTAATGAATTTAAGGATCTAGGTGTAATATTTGATTCCACGTTGTCTTTTGTACCGCACATCGAACATATCGTGAACAGTTCTTTTAAAAATTTAGGTTTTATATTTAGAAATGGAGCGGATTTTAAAGATACCTTATATTTAGTTTTAAACTTTTGTTTTATACGTTAGTTCAAAGTAAGCTTGAGTATTGTTTTGTAGTTTGGGCACCACATTATAAAACTGATATTAATCTTATTGAAAATGTGTTGCGAAAATTTTGTAAATTTATTTATTTTAAGATATATCCGCCTCAACACTGCATCAGAAGCGTTATATAATATAGTTGACGAATGTTTCCTCTATGCGTGGAGAAATGTAGCGTGTGTAACCTTTATGCAAAAACTAATAAGTGGCAAAATTTTCTGTCCATCAATATTATAAAATATTCAGTTTATCTGCCCCCGTGTAAACTGTCGTACGCCTACAACATTTTATTATCAGGTGCCTAGTACATATCATTTCAATGGTCCGCTTATGAGATGTTTGAGACTGTGTAATTGCTTAATAAATCATAACGTAGACATATTTTATGATAATTTTAGTAACGTAAAATATAAAGCAAAACTAGCTGATATTTGTTATAACTTTTAAGGTTTGCTGTGATCTAATTTGCTTTCCCATTTCATTTATATTTTTCTATTTTGTTAGGTTATTTTAGAAACAATTTTAATAACGTTAGTGTATTAAGTTTCCACCATAGACATGTAGTCTGTTAGAAATAAATCCTTATTACTATTATCATAGTAAGTCATCGGCGAAGGAATGCCACTGGAACTTTTTAGATTAATAACGCGAGATTGAGACTTGATTTTAGATTTCGTAGTAGATATATATATATATATATAATCTGTTACCCTCTTTTACCCATTGGGTGTCGAGGGGGGAGACGCACCGAGCCGCTCAGATAGGTATGGCGATCTTGGCCACCCATCCACAAAGTGACTGCGGACAGCGTTGCTTCATGAGCATTATCGCTGCGCTGCGCTAGGGGCTATCTGAGCCGTACTGCTCCCTTCGTAGTAGATAATATGTAGTTAATACTAGCTACTTTTATTTCCTTGTTAATTTCATATGGAACTAAAATTCTGAAGTAAACTCCACTTAAGTTTGATATTCAATTGTATTAAAACAAAAAACAAAACACCAGCCATCTATCTTCTTTGCAGATATTCTCGTGTTACGTATGCTTATATGCATTGGTCAACTCACTAAATATAAGCCTTGGGGTTCCCATTCTGTAAAAAAAATTGTCGTTACCCTGTAAGGAAGTTGTGCACAAATGTTTCTGCTATATAATTATGGTAAAACTACTGACAGAGCTTCCATGAAGAGAATAAAAAACGAAACTCTCATAGCGGTACAGAGACCAAACTAGTGCGAGTAACTTTCAAGTTGTCCATAGGCTCGCGCCCTAGTGAGGGTTAGATTACAGTGTAAGTAACTAAGCCTGACTTAAGTGCTATACCTTAACAAATATTGTTAGTTCTCAAAAAATATTCCTTCATTAAACGGATTATATCTATGTACAATACAGACGCTACGGATTATGCGTGAATTTGAAGCAAAAACCCTTTTTGTATATTACCTACGTACAGTTAGCTACCTGAAGACTAACTATTCCGATAGGGGATGGATTCACGTGCACCATTGCACTGACGGTTTGCCCCTTTGCTCGGTCGGATGGGTGTTTGGTCTATGGCGGTAACTGTGGTCTATAAGGTGAATTTTCAGGGATTTCCCAGCCCACATTGTGAAGTTCGTCCCTCGTCAACTGCACAATACCTGGTCTAGCGTTGTTTTTGAGGAGCATTCCGCTTCGGTCCTGAACATCATTTCATTGTGACCTACGCAGATCTGACTTCCACACCTAATAGGTCCATGTACCTATTTTCTTAATTATTTCTTGAATAATAACTTGCCTGTCTCCTAAAATCATATTTTTGACGTGTTCAGTAGGTACTGTCCTCAGTAATACGAGTTTGTGGATGTTGATGCTACTCATTCTCGATTTGTTTTCGACGTTCTTTGAATATTATCCTTCATCACTTTCGTTGCATTTATGAGACTGCTCTCTATCCCAAAATTAATTAGCAGCACATAAATTTGAGGTGGTAAAACATTTTCAGCCACGAAAAAATTGATAATAACGCGTATTAATTCGCGTTGTAATGCGAATAAGGAGAATCAAATGCTGAGACATATATGCAAACTGTAGTTGATTGTGATGATATCATGGGTAAATCTGAATCAAACCTGTTAAAATTTAACTCGTTACTATGGAAATTTGCAATTTAACACCCTTTAAATTTAACAAGTTTTTACAAAATGGCCCCTATCATCGACTAATTAATATTAGACGGATTTTTTTGACAAATCGTGTGACTAAATTCTCATTGACAAGAACGTTTACAATACTCTAAATACGCTGTACGCTTTTTCAATGAATAGAACTGTACTGCTGTACTTGTCGTTTATGAATCCGTCTTGGTTTTTACTACAATTATTTTACAAACATTTTTGTGCAACATTTATCACAAATGTCACCTAGACCTAGGGTTGGGCGGAAAATGAACTCTTGGTGGCCACGTGGTTTTATCTGCATCTTCGCATTGAGCTTGTAGTAGCGTGCATGAGTTCGACTCATATCCGCATCTACTGTTTTCTGACGCACTGAGCTTGTTTGAATGTTTGACTTCTGGTGCGAGGGAAGTAAATAACTTCAGACCGATTTTTTCGAAGTTACTATCTGATCTAATAACTTGGAAATAAGGTGATAAGGAGTGTATAAAAGCAGTATCAAAGTTCCTGGAGGTTACCTACAGTAATTTAGCAATGTAATTTTTATTTGTCTGTAAACTCAATAGCAATGTTGCTCTTGCTAAACCAGAAACACCACTTTACCAAGTTATTAGTTACGTACATGAATCTTACACAAATCGTTATAAAGTTTTTGTTATTCCGCTTTTAGTCGTGTTAAAATTTGATTTTTATAAATGAAAATTTCATAGTAAATCGAATTATTGCTTGAATTTTCATAATATTTATTAAAAATGTGTTTTTTGATTTTGTATCACAGAAACTATACAATATTTAGTCTTAGTTTTTCATCTGTAATATAGGGTTTCTATAAGTGATTACAGGATCAAAGTAGGTCAAGCAAAGGTGCCGCCTATCACTTTATATGAACTTTACTAAATGTCCAAGGACTCACGAAAAATACCACACGCATCTGTATAACTAGTTGCCTAAATGCTTCATATCTTATTAAAAAATAATTCATTAGAATAAAAAGATAAAAAGAAACAAATTTATTGTGGTTAAACATCACAATAAATGCTGAAAATTTTCACCGTTTTGTTCAAGGCACATGTTCATTCTCTTTGTAATTTCAAAAATGTTCTGCAACATCCTTTCGTCAATGCTTTGGACCCATTGTTCAATTTGATGTTGCAACAGGAACTCCTGACAGCTGAGATAATCTTATCATATATGTTTGCGGATTCTGGTCAAGTCGTCTCAACTCATCAACAACTTGCTCAGACACTGAAAGTCTTCCACGGGACTTCTCTTTGTTGAGACTGCCAGTTCGAACAAATCTGTTAATTACATCTCTCATGTGAGCCTCCAACGATGTTTCTTGAAGCATTAAATCACGGTATTTGACCAGATATTCTTGCTCACAAGCGGTTACAAAATACACCCACTCAACGTTTACGAATGTCCCATTGCGATAATAAAGACAACAATGAAAGTGTCTTGTTCAACAAAGTAAACCATTTTCACGGTCTTTGCTTCCTAACACAAACACAAAATTTTCATACGCCACCACTAAGAGTTCTGAAAACGACTGCTTTTATTGCTGTGAGCTTGGTTCAATGAGAATTACTGTAATTTCCACTTGAAAAACGTTAAAACAATAAAAGCGATTACTTTAAATGATGAATATTTGCAACGAAGCGGGATATTTGAAATAATTGAAATTCATGGCCAACTACGCCCTTAGAATCATTTATGAAAACCCTGTATAACCGAATAAATAACTGTTCTTAATTTCTTTGTTATTTCAACAAAAGTTGTATTTTGACAACGATCTTTGTCTTTGAACTAACAATTTTTTAATTCGGGCGATGTCTCTGTTGCGGCACATTAAATGAGATGCGGTATTTATGCGTTGCTTGAGGTACGAATTGCTTTCAAATGTACCCAACTGGAAAAAAAACTTGTTATTGATTACACAGTCGAACAATTTTAGAAAAATTTCTATTTACAAGCATTCTGAAAATGTATTCTGAAAGGTCATTTTGTGTTGAATAACTATCTAATAACTACTAATAAGGCTACTCCACTTTTTTAAATCTAGAGCCCCTCAGATGTAGTGTTTTCGCAACGTCAGTAGCAAACGCTGTCGTGCGGTAGGCTTAAAGTGGAGCAGAGGAAATACATAAATTATGTTCGGAGATGACAGTTATGGCTTGCACTCGTGTTGTATTTAACGATGGGGTTTGACTATTTTGGATATTATAAGTAAATATCTGAATTTCTTTGTAAAATAAAAATAATTAATTTTTAAAGCTAAATTTAAAAAAAAATCTGAAAATCACTGATAAGTATTTTAATTGTATATTTTATAAAGAAACAATTTATTAAAACAATTACGAACAATAAGAAAATAATAATAAAATATAAACTAAATTTAATAAAAACAATATTAATTTCAGTAATTCATAAAAATAAGAAATAAATAGCATAAAGATAAACAATAGAACAGTTACAATGTTTTTAAAATCTCGGGAAGATAAAACGAAAAGTAGAAAGTTTTAAGCCTATCTTTCATACGTGTTTCAAAAAAATCATGGTCCTGTTTAATTTTATTATATATGAATCCTTTCGGCGTCCAAACTACAAAATAACAATACATTTTGCCGGTAATACGAAGCTGTCCTTGTATTTGAAAATAACAGTTATGGCTTTTTTTTTTAATGTAATTCGCCCGAAATACATTCAAGAAATTTAATTTTTCCTGTCTTTACTGCTTCATTTACCGTCAACTGTCTGCTGTTATAAGGACATTTGATTTCCACAATCCCATCTCGATCTATGAGTCCATCCGGTGATGCTCCCAAATAATATTCCTCTTCATCAACATACAAACCACAAGCGTCAATGGGTTTTCCTATATGTTCGCTGAATTCTTTTAGAGCGATTGGTTCATGTTGAATCCCGTAATTCGTGGCTGCTGAAGTGAAAGTTTGAAAAATTTGGTGTACTACCTTAACACGATCAGTTGTTTCTTTTAAATGGCATATTTTTCCAAAATTTGAAGCAGTTATCCTTTTCTTTCGCTCTTCAAACCATAATGCAGAATCCGCTTGATTTTTGGTTTTTTCTGTCAATTCTAATATATCTTTTTTACTCTTTTTTATATCATGTAAAAATATAGCTTTTCGTCTGGTTATTTCCTCCTCGTCTATCAAGGGTTGGACGTCTCCATAATCCTCGTCAGCTTCTTGGGATTTTTCAGCATTCTTCTTGCGTCGATTAATTTTTAAATAAGTGAGCCTTTTTCTGCATGAGATGAGCTTTCTTTCTTTTTTTTGGACAAATGATTTTGTATATTTACCAGGACTCTTACCAGTAATTGCCTTCTGTAAAATAGAATGATATTTCGGTCCTTCATTGAAAGATATTCCAGCGGCATGACACCTTGTAAAATAGCTTCCTCTTTTAGAATAATCTACCCTCTTGCCACCTATAAATTTTGCCACTACGCTGTTATAGCATTCTGCCATATTATTTGTCATGTTTTTCAATAAACTTCTGCTGTTATATATTAATCGATTGGCAAAAGACAGTATATCATTATATAAACCGCAGGTCTTCATTTCTGGAATAAAGTTTTTTTCATTGTCTTTCGTACCGTGGCAAAAGTAAGTGTCGCATCTCGAATGCTCTCCAAAAACATGACAAATGCTATTTTCAATATCTTTTTTGAGGCTTTCAGACTGGTTTTGAAATGGAACATTTTCTTGTCTTCTATGCTTTACTGCACATTCGACAGCCACTCTTAGTCTTTGCAAATTATTCTTCAAAAGTTGTCTTAGGAAAATCGGAACTTCAAGACCTTTTGAACTATATCTTTTTGAAGGCAATTGTTTTAAGTTATTGGAGTAGTTCCTCAAAAGGTGATTGGAGCACTCAATCTTTTGGATGGGAACATTGCCATATGGTTTCACTGTTTGCAGTTTTTTAGTGACACTGCTGTCTCCATCTTCAACAAGCGAAGTGTACCTAATGCCATGGATTTCTATGCTGCGCGTAAACCCTTCAACGATAATATCTGTCTCCATCGATGTAGAGGAGCCAGTCCAGTTTTTAAAACATAGGTGATCGCCTTTTTCTAAATTACACATGGTACAATATTTATTTCTAATGCCTAAAAACAGAAGTTTTCCTGTTTTTTGGCCTACGATACAAGCCGCACCAGAACGCGCATTGTACGCAGTACGGTATGACCGTTTGCACCAAGCTCCATCGGCAATAACGGTAATAAAAGGGATATTATTTTCATCTATATCACCACTTTCGCGAGTCAATTTTGCTTCCATTTTTCCAGCTTTAAGCATACTTTCCCAACAACTTTCTTTTATTACTTCAGTTAGATCATCTTCGATAGACCTAAATAAAGTATACGACATGGTGGGTATGTTGAGTGTACTCGCGAATTCACATAACTGGGAGTAACCACATCCAATACTTAGGGTTCCTAGAACGCTTGCCCCGTTCACATTCAAATTTCCATCATTCCCGGATGTTTTCACTTTGTGTTGAATTTGACATAATCTACATTCCAATATAATTTCGGAAATAAATCCTTTTCGGATTTCTTTAACCACCTTCACTTCTTTCATTGAACAAGAAAAGAGTTCACAATGAGGGAAAGCCGAAATTTGGTCTAATACATATTGTAAATCCACAATTCTGTTACCTTCCAGAATTTTTGCTTCATGTTGATTCTTGAGTGCAAATCTAAAAATAAATTAAACCGATGAAAAATGTACTTATGCTGAAAATTCCACTCACTATTTTTTATCCAATCAAAAATCATTTTCCTCACAACAACCAATGAAATCATTATTTTGGTGAAAATTACAGCGGAAAATTTTTTTCAGTAGGTGTTTACAAAAAATGCGTGATTACTGTGGCAATATGAAAGTAACTACTTTGATTTTGCACTAGATTTCATTGCACGTTCGTTTGAATTTTCATGCCAAGTACCGCTCGCAGCTCTGTGACTCCCTGATAATTTTTTCTCACTGCTCTTCACTCATGGTTTTTAGAATTCCAATAACGACTCGAGCAAGCGCACCCCTCGTGATTGTTGTTACAAAAACCATTCGTTTTGACAGTTCGAAAAAATTGTCAGCAATTGCAGGACCACTTGTGGTATTACTTATAAAAATCGTACGACACGAATACAGACCAATAAGAGAATAGAATTTAGGACTGCTGTTACGGCAGCAACCAAAAAATTTCCTGGAAATTTTTGTCGCCTTACTAACGTAACAGAAATTAATAAGTGGAAATTTTTTGACATAATCCCAATTGGGATAAAATTTATTGTTGATAAAATACACAACTATTGTAGTTATTAAGATTATTATATATTGTGTCTAGTTCGGTTAGGCATATGGATTTGAATAAAATGACTCAAATTAGGACTGTTTGTGTCTTGTACGATTTTCTTACTGAATACGCCCTCGTGCATTGATTAATATCCTGACATTTTATTCTCATGCATTTCAAAAACGTAATTAGCACTCGTGTTCCACTCGGGCTAATTAATACGTTTTTGGAATGCATTCGAAAAAATTTCCGGAAATAATCAATGCACTAGGGATATAATACAACAATGCAACAGGAATATAATAAGTGATAAAAGTGTGTTTACCTGGTACTCAGAATGTTTTCTTCTACCTCTTTTTGACTAATGACATTTGCCGTATCTTTATTAGAATCATCATCAATTGCAAAATCCAAAACACCAACATTATCTTTGGCTTCTCCAGACGTTGAAGGAATACATTGATCACTACTGCATCCAAATTAGAATTTTATTTATTTATATTTTCCTATTTTTTTAAATATAACTTACATTTCAAAAGATTCGTCAAAATTTTTAATTTTGATTTCTGATGATATTTTTTCAGGTTGAGTTTTATATTTGGCGAGGAAGCTAAAAATTTAAAATTTACGAAATTTGGTTACATCTCTATTTTTGATTTACAATGAATGTATAATCGTAACAGTAAATTGTACTTACTTTCGCCTACCAATTACTCTTTTACTTTTTCTTGCACGTGATAAACGTAATCTGCTTTTGTTACCCATGATACAAACACTCTTCAAGAGAGAAAAATGTACACTGTCCACTGTCCCCTTACGTTATCAGGGTGTTTCCAGCCATCCTCGGCACCTTCTTTGAAAAACATTGCCAGATGTGATCATGTAGTCAAAGTAAAACAATCCGAACGGTGCAACCGAAAACGAAGAGAGAAACAGAATATCACCGTTGCATGGTCCGGAGGTTGAAAATGAATGCGTAACGCATTTTTCCAGATAAAAATACGGGATTAATAGGCAATATGTGTAATTTATTTTTGCTAAGATTTATTGTTAAATGTTCGATGAACACCCTTTGCTATTTATTTTTTTGGTTTTGTGTTAATAACTAGGTATATTTTAAGATTGAAAACGCAAAATTTACTTGTACTTGAACTATTTTTTATCAGATAACCAACTTGTTTTTTTCAAAAATAATAATTAGCAAGAAGTTTAACTTATACACTAAGGTATTATAATAAATATTTTTTAAGTAAATATTTTAATCCACGTCTTCGTAATTCTGTGCGAAAAATTGTCCATTTTCGTCTGTAAATCTTACATTGTTACAAGCATTCTGAAATGTTATTTTGTGCTGAATAACTATCTAATAAGACATTATGCCTACGTCGTCAAAAAAAAATTTTTTTTGGAGGTTGTTCATAGTTAAGGGTGTACTATTGCATAATGGGAATAAATATCTAGTATCGATTGCATACTTCATCGGAATTGCAGAAACATATGAGCATATTCAACACTTGTTAAACTGTAAAAGTTTGAGTGCAATTTGATAGGCGATTTAAAAATTGTAGCTTTATAGTAACTGGCTTCCAATCTGGATATACCAAGCATATGTGCTTCTTATGCAATTGAAATACAACAGAGAAAGCATTTCAACATCTGAAAACAATACTTCCTAAACTTTCTGCTGCAAAAATAAACCATGGTAAAAACTAAAATATTTCAGTGAATTTCAGTTTTCATATTATGTACGTTTTCTATATTTAGGAATTTTCACTGGGCCTGAAATTCGAATGAAGGATCAAATGTTCTACGTCTATATGAACGATACGGAAAAATTTACTTGAGAATCAACTAGCTTAGTGATCAGTGAATTTTTAGGAAACAAACGTTCAACAAATTATGTCTCATTTAAATTTATTTGCTGATAATCTTTTCATCAAGAAATCAAGAAAGTCGAAAAAAGATTTAGGAGAAAGACCCAAGTATCCATTCTTTCCAAATACATGAGGCTTTTATAAAGAGTTAGATCCTTCTACATATTCTATGCAGGTTAAATATTCGTAGACGTAATTAAATATCTGTCGACAGAAAGAAATCTGTGGAATATTTTTTTAGTGCTTCTTGTGCGTTTTTCTATGTAACATTAGAATTCACTTCATTTTTTTCTAATTGTTCACCGGACGATAATAAAAATTTGAATAATTTTTTTTTGACGACATGTGTATATTATCTCTATGAAGAGTTGTTCAGCACAAAATTACCTTTCCGACCATGTTTAGAAAATATATGTAACAAAAACACTGTTCTACTGTGTAATTAAAAATACCAAATTTTGTGTGATGGATTATAATAATTTATTGTTACGTAAGTCTATTTTTTTATGAAACAAATTAGTTTATTTTTATTAAATGGTTGTTTGTATTCTTTTGTAGAAATTGCTCTTTTTTAATTGTTTTTGAAAGAAATATAACTCAGCCAAGCCTCCCTTCTCAATGCATCGAGTTACGCCACTGCTAGCCCGACTACAAGTCAGGCAACTTAAGCCCCGCCCCTGTACCCTTTCGTGCTGAAATTACTTCTACTAAAAATTGATGACGTCGGCTCAAAAATTTGCCGAATAAATAACTATCTAAAATGCACAAAATATGATGAGTCTATACTTGTGATTTATCATTTCATTCATATTATTTGAATATGTTTATACAGGGTGACTAAAAAAAATTAATGAATGCGTGAATTTATTTTATTGATTTAATCAGAAACCACAAAACCGAATGCCTTGAAATCTTAGATATATTTTGAAGTTATCATAACGACGATAAATTTTTGAGCAAAATGTATTTGCTCATTCCCCCTAAAAAATTGATGACGTCACCTCAAAATTTTGCTAAATAAATCCTATCTTAAATGTGCAAAAATGATGAGTCCATATTTGTGATTTATCACTGCATTATCTAATATTTTTTAGATTTGCTTATGCAGGGTGTTTCAAATAAAATCAATGACTGAGTCAATTTATTTTATTGATTAAATCAAGAATTACAAAACGGAATACTTTGAAATCTTGCAGACGTTTTGAAGTTATTATTAAGCATGGTAACTTGTTAATCAAAATGTCTGTTTATCAACCCCAAAAAAATTGATGAAATCATCTCAAAATTTTTCCAAATAAATCCTTTCTAAAATGTACAACATATGATCGGTAATTTGTAATTTATCATTGCATTCATATTTTTTAGATTTGCTTATACAGGGCATTCATGGTGACTCAAAAAAAATCAGTCGATCAGTCAATTTAGTTCATTGAATAAAGTAAGAATTGCAGAACTGAATACTTTGAAATCTTGCAAACATTTTAAAATTATTGTATGGTAAATTGGTAATCAAAATATATCTGTTTATCCCCCCTAAAAAATTGATGACGTCATCTCAAAATAAAATATGATGAGATTTTACCGTGATTTATCATTGCATTAATATTTTTTAGATTTGCTTAAACAGGTGGCTCAAAAACATTAATGAATGAGTCAATTTATTGTAATGATTAAATCAAGAACGGTTCACTCCTGTTTTCCAGAAAATTTTGAGAATACAATACTGTTGTTTTTAGGATATCACTGCACCAATCCAAGTTGATATACGTGTCCTTGCAAAAATGTTGATGACGTTATTACAAAATCGTGTAAAGTAAAAACTCAACTCGAAAATGCTGGATATGTTTCATTGTACTTTAGCTGCGAGGGAAGTTCTGTGGAAACAACTTTCTACCAATTTTTTTCCTTTGGTTTTAAGATGAGAGTTTGCTGTGAGTGGTAGATTGCTTTCACATTTATATGAAAAGTGATTGTGATAAGTTCAGAGGCACTAGATTGAAACAGAGTTTTGATCATCTTCAGAATTAAGAATTTTGAGAGCACTTTCAAGATTGTCGATATTAATATTAGATTCAGTTTTAAATTTACAGAAAGTACAACATTATCATTCATACTCTCAAATATTTAATTAGTTAAACCAGCATATATTAAATAGTAATTATGTTTACATTACTTACACCATTGACTTACACGATGTATATCAGTATGCCCGAAAAACAAGCACATTTGCTATATTTAACCAATATTATTATTACATATATATTAAAATATATATAAGCAATTGTTAATTATTATTAAGGTGGAACACAATGATATCAGTCATGAATAAGCCACGTATAACTGTTTCCATCAATGAAATTCTAAAGAACGATGCCATTTTCTAACCACTACATTGTCATAAAACAACTTACCGACCCCTCGTAGTCGTCAAACCTTCTAAACTGAAAACAAGATGTTCAAAAACTCCAAACATTTTACCCAGGAACCACAAAAACAAGAACCTCATACCGAGAACAACACCAAACACACTGTCTCACTTCGAGAAACGTTTAAAATGGGATTGTACAGTAGGTATAAACTGTTTACTAATAGCCTGGACTCAGTATGATTTATTTGTAGATGGATGTCCATCAGGTAAAGTTTGGCTACCGATGTTTGGAGCTGACTTCACTAATCTCTAATCGTCTTAAGGGCGTTTACCAGCCCGGATAACCGCTCACTGTAATAAACGGTCGGATACATGAATGTTTCTTTACCTGCGAGAGAATCGGTGCCGTACACGAAAATTTTGTAAACTTCTTTAAACACAGTCTTGATGAACACATTCACAGCGGGGCTAAACAATAAACCCTCCTAAGCGTATTACCCGCAGTGAAGTCACTTCCAAATATCAGTAGCCAAGCTATAACAGCTAAAATAATACTGTTACGAAATACACCCTTACGCCGCCCCGGTACGACGCCTATGGCCGCCGTCGGGAACAGGGATTATTTATGAAGTGATCACGTCGAGTCTAGCGAGTGACCAGACAAGTTATACTTGCTTTCAAAATAAGAGAGTAAAACTACTTGAGAAACTGACTGGACTTTTAGGGTTTTCCAACCCTAAGCGGTAGGTGGGCCAATAGGAATGATTGACAGCTTGTACCAAGTACAATGGATTAAGCTTATGGCCTTATTATGATACCCTAAATGTTAAATCAGTTTTGCAGGTAGTTTTACTCTCTTATTTTGGAAGCAAGTATACGCCGAAGTTATTTTGTACATAATCGCTGTAGTAGTTATTCGTGTATATTCGAGTTATTAAAAAATAAATTGTTGAGTTTTACCTAAGCCGGACTTTATTCGCCCGCCAAACGTAACAATACCAATGGCAATACCTGCTGCAATAAATAATCTTTGATCACTCAGTGCAAGATAGATGATCACACTATACTCCACAAACACCGAACATCAAAAAAAATTGTTGACGCATTTCGCCGCCCAGCTGGAATTATCTAGACAAAATTGAACTGATTAGTTTAAGGAGAGCGTCGACAATTTTTGTGTTGTTCGGTGTTTGTGGTTATAATGTGTACTTACTGCGTCAAAGTATAGATAGGTCCTTACCAGATTGAGAGCCGAGAGGTTTGCATACACCTCTGTACAGTGTTTTATTTATGTAATAATTAGACAAGGATTTTAAATAAGTAGACAGGATTGCTCGATCGCTATACCTTGTGTATATGTCGCCCCACTCCTACCTAATCGTCCGTAGTGACGTAGCAGGCAGACCTCTGAGTCGGAAGTTTGTCGCTCGACAACAGTGTTTAAACGCGTTTAAACGAGTACTGCTATGATATTTCACTGCATTACTTTAATTAATACTTAACTACAATTGTTTTAATTCGTATTTTCTTTGTGCAATCATTTGGTTGTACATTTTGCTGGTTAGAAAAAATTCTTTATTAGGTAAATCGTGATTTTTATTCATTTTTACTTCCCGAGCGTAAGCAAAGGAAGTATTGTAATCGAGTCCGTCGGCCGACTCTCTACTTTTACGTTTTCTCGATCTTTCATGACCCCTAGAAGACGAAGAAATAGGTCTCCCATTTCCGTCTGTCTGTCCGTCTGTCCGTCTGTCCGTCTGTCCGTCTGTCCGTCTGTTCGTCTGTCCGTCCGTCTGTCCGTCTGTCCGTCTG